AAACAAAACGTTATTTAACATTAACTTCTTTAAGAGTTTGAACTGAAGTCTGACTTTAAATAGCTTTTGAAAATTTTTTATAAAAATTATTTTTCTAATCTGTTAAGAAAAGGTTATTTAGTTTTAAAAATATATTTTACATAGCTGAAGTAGTTATAAATAAGGTAATATATACGTATATATTTAATATATACGTATATATTACCTTATTTATAACTACTTCAGCTATGTAAAATATTTTTTAAAAACTAAATAATCTTTTCTTAAAAGATTAGAAAAATAATTTTTATTAATAATAATAATATATATATATCTATATATATATATATATATATATATATATATATATATATATATATATATATATATATATATATATATATATATATATATATATATATATCGCCGTGGATAGAGTACCGAAAGTCGGTACTATAAGAAAATTTTCTTATAGTACCGGAAGCGCGTCTATTGGTTGTTAAAGTCACGTGTAAAAACAAGTTCCGATTTTAGATAAAAACTAAATGAAATTTCAGTTAACAAATTTCAGTACAAGGATAATTTAGGATAACTAATTCTAGTTTAATAATTTGTTATAGCTTAAACATAGAAATTTGAAATTAAAAATTTAAAATTGTAAACAATGAAGAAATATGCGATTAATTATCAAAATCTGTGTTCAATCTGTAATAAGAAGTCATTAAACATTAATTGGAGGATGTACCTACAAACCATCTACCACCTCAACAAAAGATGTTTCTGTTGAGTTAAATATAAAGTGTTTGTAATCTTTTCCAAAAAATCCAAAAATGTAAGTTGTAATTATTGGTGATTTTAATCATCATGACATTAATTAGAGTAAGACTTGAAGGGTCTGGTGAACTATAGTACTGTTATATTCAAATATTTGATTGATCAATATATATAATCGATTGGTTATATATATTAATAGCTATCTCATACAAAATATAATTGAGAAAAAGTTTTCAAAATCTATTTATAATATCAAAAATTAAACCACCACACTTGGTCCAATTTTTTGTATATGGTAACCATTTAATTTTTAAGTAAACTTTAGAACTTTAATTCAATAACAGAAACAAAATTTATTTTGACAATCCAAAACAAACAAGTTGTAGTGTAGAAAAACAAGGTCTTTCTCAATTTGCCAAAATCAATTAAAACCCAATCAAAAGCAGATGTTTTTGGCATTCAGGAAATGCTGGCTTACAAATATTTTAAAAACCCAAATAAGGTTAAAAAAGCATATTTTTTTATTATTTTCAGCCTCAAATAAACAAAATTCCATTAAAAAAATATATTCATATACTTAATTATGATATTTTCATCATCTTTGTAGAGGAAAAAATAGAATAAACGCTTTGTTAAAGTGATATGTACAATATAAAATGGATTATTAACGTGGGTGAAATATAAAAGCATCGGAAATATTTTACTGTAGTTGAGAACTTTTAGAGCTTTTGATATTTAGGTTGTAGGACTTTTTTTTTTTTTCTATAGAAACATAAAATAAAAGTGTTTATCTTACTTTAATTAGTATAGTTATTAGTCCAACATATCGTTATTATTTTAGCCTGATTTAAAGATATTTTACTGTTATATTAATGTTTAATTTTTTTCCAAATTTACGCATATCAATATTTATTACTTTATCACAATTGCTATTGGTGTTGAACTAAATTTCCATTTCCAAATTCATATACTTGTTTATAGTAAATGAACAACAACAGAACATAAATCTATACATACACTATTTTGCAAACTTTTTATTCTAAGCTTCGTTAAAAGTAGATTTGTTAACTTAACTTGCTATAAAACTGTATACTTTTTATAAACTTTTTTCCTGCCAATTTAGATAGGGAACATTGTAAAAATTGATCAAACCATGTTACGTAAAAAGATACACAAAAATATTATCGAAAACATGATGCATATTTTTCTTTAATTTGAAAATCTTTAGTTTTCTTTTCTTGCACACAAAAACTTTAATACTTTTTGAAAAAAAATGTTTTTTAAAAATACACCAGAATTCAATATGGTATTTTCACTTGTATATACCTTGTGTATAATAGGTTGATTTTTAAATTGGCTAAAATATAAACCATCACCATAGCTTTAGAGATAGCAATTACAATTGTATAAATCTGAATAATATAATGATATTATGATTTTATTATTTATGATATTATAGGTAATTTTATTGTTATTATTTTTATTATTATTACTGTCATTATAAAATAAATGTTGCTCCTATTGCTTTTATTTGTTGTTGTTGTTTGCATGAAGTTTCTTATCATAGTAGAAGCACTAAGATTAAAAAATAAAGATAAAACTCAAGAATGTGCTTGTTATAACTTTACTAGACATTTCATGCATGTTACACTCAAAATTTTGGTTTTAGAAATAATTCCATCCTCACAAAATGACTAATAAACAAACCAACTACAGTAAACATGTTATGATTTAGTTTTCTTTATTATCACAATCGCGGTTCACTTTGATATTATGATCACAAATAATATTCTAATATCATGATTTAAATATAAATTGTATAGAAACATTTGTATTATAGTATAAAATCATGTTTCACAAATTTTGTATTGAGTTACTATTTGATAAAAACATTTTACCACGCATGACCAATAATTAAATATTCACATAAAACCATTGCATAAAACAAATAATTTAACAATGCTTTTTGCATCTTAAATACTTAATTATTCGCCAAAAAATAAACATTACGTCACCTAACTTTACGCTATGGAATCATGTTTCTACCGCACAGAAAGATAAACAAAACGTTATTTAACATTAACTTCTTTAAGAGTTTGAACTGAAGTCTGACTTTAAATAGCTTTTGAAAATTTTTTATAAAAATTATTTTTCTAATCTGTTAAGAAAAGGTTATTTAGTTTTAAAAATATATTTTACATAGCTGAAGTAGTTATAAATAAGGTAATATATACGTATATATTTAATATATACGTATATATTACCTTATTTATAACTACTTCAGCTATGTAAAATATTTTTTAAAAACTAAATAATCTTTTCTTAAAAGATTAGAAAAATAATTTTTATTAATAATAATAATATATATATATCTATATATATATATATATATATATATATATATATATATATATATATATATATATATATATATATATATATATATATATATATATATATATATATCGCCGTGGATAGAGTACCGAAAGTCGGTACTATAAGAAAATTTTCTTATAGTACCGGAAGCGCGTCTATTGGTTGTTAAAGTCACGTGTAAAAACAAGTTCCGATTTTAGATAAAAACTAAATGAAATTTCAGTTAACAAATTTCAGTACAAGGATAATTTAGGATAACTAATTCTAGTTTAATAATTTGTTATAGCTTAAACATAGAAATTTGAAATTAAAAATTTAAAATTGTAAACAATGAAGAAATATGCGATTAATTATCAAAATCTGTGTTCAATCTGTAATAAGAAGTCATCAAACATTAATTGGAGGATGTACCTACAAACCATCTACCACCTCAACAAAAGATGTTTCTGTTGAGTTAAATATAAAGTGTTTGTAATCTTTTCCAAAAAATCCAAAAATGTAAGTTGTAATTATTGGTGATTTTAATCATCATGACATTAATTAGAGTAAGACTTGAAGGGTCTGGTGAACTATAGTACTGTTATATTCAAATATTTGATTGATCAATATATATAATCGATTGGTTATATATATTAATAGCTATCTCATACAAAATATAATTGAGAAAAAGTTTTCAAAATCTATTTATAATATCAAAAATTAAACCACCACACTTGGTCCAATTTTTTGTATATGGTAACCATTTAATTTTTAAGTAAACTTTAGAACTTTAATTCAATAACAGAAACAAAATTTATTTTGACAATCCAAAACAAACAAGTTGTAGTGTAGAAAAACAAGGTCTTTCTCAATTTGCCAAAATCAATTAAAACCCAATCAAAAGCAGATGTTTTTGGCATTCAGGAAATGCTGGCTTACAAATATTTTAAAAACCCAAATAAGGTTAAAAAAGCATATTTTTTTATTATTTTCAGCCTCAAATAAACAAAATTCCATTAAAAAAATATATTCATATACTTAATTATGATATTTTCATCATCTTTGTAGAGGAAAAAATAGAATAAACGCTTTGTTAAAGTGATATGTACAATATAAAATGGATTATTAACGTGGGTGAAATATAAAAGCATCGGAAATATTTTACTGTAGTTGAGAACTTTTAGAGCTTTTGATATTTAGGTTGTAGGACTTTTTTTTTTTTTCTATAGAAACATAAAATAAAAGTGTTTATCTTACTTTAATTAGTATAGTTATTAGTCCAACATATCGTTATTATTTTAGCCTGATTTAAAGATATTTTACTGTTATATTAATGTTTAATTTTTTTCCAAATTTACGCATATCAATATTTTGTTATGTATATATGTTTTTAAGTTCTATGTTTGCTATTTTTTATGTTCTACAAAAACTAGTATTGATTTTTTTATATTTTTCTTAAAAGAATTATTTGTTTTTTGCAATTTGGAAATTATTTCTTTATTAAATTATTATTTTTTTTTTAGTTCATTCATGAGTTTCTGCTCTACCTCATTTTTTATGTTTAATTTGACTACTGTTGAAATATGGTTTCAATTTAATAAATTTTTATGAATTGAAATTTACTTTATTAATCATTAGCCAACAGTGTAGGTTCAATGTTTTCCCATTACATGGTTATGGTTATGATGCTATTGGGAACCTGGGGATACAGAGTTTGAAATATTAAAAAACTTTAAGATTTACGTAAAATTATAATTTTTTAATATTTAATTTGAAAAAGTAACAAATTCTTACATAATATATTCCACATAATTGGTTTTTATGTATTTATATAAATTAGTGACTCTCTTAAATCAAATGTTAATAATTAAATCAAATGCTAAAAATGTTATTAAAAATAATAAATAGATAGAACGCAATTAAAAATATACATAATAATTATAGCTATCAAAAGTTATAAATCTCGAAAAAATTTTAAATTATATTATGGAATGCAAAGTCCTATGGTTTACCTTCTCGTGGTGCATTTCGTTAAATAAGTTGGATAGGTTTGATGCCTTTCTAGTTTATGAACAAAAAACCAAGGCAATTTTAGCTTATAAAAGATATTATTGCTAGTCTAGCAGTATGTCATTGGGGCTTCGAGGTTACCCACCTGGGTTCGATACCTGGCTGGATCAAAGTGAGTTCATGGAGCACTTTCCATCCATCTGGGGTAAAATACCCTTGTAGCGACAAAAGAGCTCCTCCAGCACTTTCATCAAGAATAGCAGATGAGATATGATTGACTCTTTTTTCAATACAATTACTTTCAATGAGAATTCCAGAAAGAGCTTTATGGACATCATCTGGTTTTAAAAACCAACCCAGCATCACTAAATACAAAGTTTTAATATTTGGTTAGTTAAAAATGATTAATTAACAAGTACATTATATTATAGAAATACTAATAAAAAAAACATCTGCATCTTTTATACATACTAGCATGTCTTTTTGATGGATGTAATTTCAAAAAAGGTACTCTTTTTTCATACAAATTAGGTTGTCGCTTTTTTGACAAACCAATAGTGGTCAGAGTAGAACCTTTAGGTCGTCCACATCGAGAAACATATTTCGGCACCCGAATCCTGTTCAGGTGAGACTCTACAAGAAATTTATGGTTTTTAAAGTGTGAAAATATTAAATTTGTTGATTTATTTGTATTTTAATAAAGATATATTTAATAGGAGAATCAATTTAAACTTGCACCTGCATAATTCTTCACAGATGTTAACTCTTCATGTTGAGTTTTTTCAGAAATAATAGCTTCCTCTAATAAAATGCTGTCGTTATCAATTGCATACTCTGTATTTAATTGTGAAGCATTTTTTTTAGTGCTTAAAACATTTTTATTACTGACTACTAACGGTGCTACTGAAGTGTTTACACCATTAACATACACATCCCAATGAATTTATTGGAGATTCTGTAACTATAGTTAATGCACTAGGTAATGTACTTTCTGTTTTTGAAGAACAAATGTCCACATCAACAAGTTCATTAACTAACATGACCTTTCCATCAGTCCAACCTTTTTTTAGAGCTTGTAAAAGACTGAGACATTGTTCAAAAGTCTGTCCAGTGGATTCAGAAACAAGGGTAGCAAGAAATGATGTTTCCTGTAGAGCAAGTTTAAACTTCTCATGCTGAGAAAGGAGTTTTTTTTTTGGAGCTACATGAAACTCTACAGATCTCAACTCATCAGCCATTATAGGACTATTAAAAGCTCGTTGATGCTGCCGATAGTACTTTAATGTCCAGCGTTCAGCACATAAGTCATTATCAAATAAATTTATTCTAAGGAATTGGCGAGCAGCAAAAATATGTCTACAAGGTAAGTGCATTGACTTTCTAAACATACATGAACAAAAATTCCATGTCACTGTATGCAGACCTTCAGTGGTGTTTACCATAAAGTATTCATTTTCTCTTTGTAACAAATTAATGTCTCCACGCAAGCTCATTTGCTTTAAAACATGTTGAGCTGCATACAATGTTAGAACTTTCTTATATGCTGCCTCTGCTGAGTTGGGATCAAACATGTCAACCAGAACTTTTTGCATTTGAAAAATAGTCTTATGGTCTCTCTCATTACGCATTGATGCTAGAACAACATAAAATTTATCCAGGAAATTTTCTAAGGAACTGTTGCAGTCAATCACTTCTTTTAATTTGCCATTGAAATTTTCAAGGCGGTTGTTGGTGCTGTTCATGAAATTTCCACAAGCAAAATTTAAACCAAGAACCCAATCAACACGAATATTATGCCAGTTCTTGTTAAAATAATCTACAACAGCAGTTGGAGAAGATGAAATAAATAATCTATATAGTTCATCATAAACTTCTTCTGATGTAGCGTAAGCCAATTTTTGAATAAGTTCTAAAGATGAAGTCCGTTCACCGCTTGTTATCCCAAGTTTGGAAGTTGTAATCTCACGATTGAAAGTTCTGTAAACAAAAGTGTGATGTTGGCTTAACAAAACAATTAAAAAAGAAAGTTTATAAGATTTTATATAATCTATATTTACAGATAAAAATTAACAATCATGTTAAAAATCAGAAGGATTCATTATCCATTAATCTAGCGCTAGTCACTTCTGGGTAATTAATATTACCTCATGGTGTGAAATAAGCAGAGTAATAGAGAAACCCCAGGAAAAGCACTACGTAAAATCTCTCTTTCTGTTAAGTCTTTGTCTGTCATGAAGACATTTGTCTTTAGCCAAGCAATATTGAAACTCTTGAATCTTTCAACAAACCAACTTTAAAACAAATAATAAAAAAATCATAAAGAGAGAAATACATACACACACACACACACACACACAGACACACACACATATATATATATATATATATATATATATATATATATATATATATATATATATATATATATATATATATGTGTGTGTATATATATATATATATATATATATATATATATATATATATATATATATATATATATATTATATATATATATTTTTTTTTTTTTTTAACATCTTCACTTCCAACAAGGCTGCAAGCAACCACTATAAGAGTTGGAAGTTACTGGAAGAGAAAAGACTAAATCTGTAGAGCAAGATAACGATTGACTGATGACTTAAAAGATTGCAAATTATATGAAACAGGAAAGCAAGATGAAGGAAGCGAATTCCAAAGAACTGATGTTCGAGGAAAAAAACTAGAAGAATAAGAGTTTTTGAAGCACTTAGGAACAGTCACAGAAAAAGGATGAGACTTAATTGAATGGCGAGTAACACGAGAATGAATTTTAGTAGATGGCACAAGGGACGCTAGCTCTTTAGAGCAGTGCCTATTATAGTATTTGTAGAAAAGAGAAAGAGAAGCAACATTACGACGATGTGACAAAGGTTGGAGATTGGCTGCCAGAGCAGGTCCAACTATGTTTACAATTCGTTTTTGCACCTTGTCTAAAAGAGAAAGAGCATCATTAGAAGATCCGCCCCAGATGTGGCAACAGTATTCCATACAGGGACGGATTTGAGATTTATAGAGATAGAGAATAGAATCTGGAGTAAGAAAGTGTCGAGCTCGATAAAGAGATGCAACCTTAGCAGATGCTAATTTTGCAATGGATTTGATATACGGTTTAAAAGAAAGATCAGAAGTAAGAGTTAATCCTAGAAGATGAATGGTAGATGACTCATCTAGTACATTACCATTCATAAATATAGGAAGATCTAAATTATTACGATAACGATTGGCCGAATAAAATTGAGTTTTATCTGAATTAAAGTTCACCAGCCACTGTGAGCCCCATGCTGTAGCAGAAGTGAGATCCTTTTCAAGCTCAGATACCCCCTCCAAGCAATCAGAGAGTGTAGGCTTCTTATCATGACAAGAGTAAATGGTAGTGTCGTCAGCGAATAATGCCACCTTAGATGTGAGAATATCTGGAAGATCGTTAATGTAAATTAAAAAGAGTATAGGGCCAAGGATTGAACCTTGAGGAACCCCTGAAGTTACAGGATGTGAAGAAGAGTGTTGTCCATCGAGGACAACTTTTATACTACGATTGGAAAGAAAGGACTCAATAATCTTAAAGACGTTACCAGCTACACCATAAGAAGAAAGCTTATGGAGAAGACCAGCATGCCAAACTTTATCAAAAGCTTTAGAAATGTCAAGTGCGATAGCCTTAACCTCTCCACCTCTATCTAATGCACGGTAAAACCTATCGGTTATTACTGTTAGCACATCAGCTGTAGAACGAGAAGACCGAAATCCATATTGATGATCAGAAAGTAAGTTATTTGATTCAAGATGAGAGATTAAGTGTTTGTTGATTAAAGATTCAAAAACCTTGCTTATGACAGGAAGAAGACTAATGGGACGGTAGTTAGATGAATCAGATCGCTCTCCGGATATATATATATATATATATATATATATATATATATATATATATATATATATATATATATATATATATATATATATATATATATATATATATATATATATATATATACAGTATATATATATATATATACCGGATATATATATATATATATATATATATATATATATATATATATATATATATATATATATATATATATATATATATATATATATATATACAGTGCTCAAAGTGGAAAAAAAACATAAAAAGATAAGATGATCTTTTAACAACTTCAGATAAGGTGGTCTTTTAACAACTTCAAAATATTGTTCTGACTAGTCATTATTGTGGCGGTTTATAAATGTAACATATACATTTTTCAAATGCCATTTAAGAATATAAAATGTCAGTATGATTACTTTAATATTTGTTTTACCTGTTATTATGCATATACATCAAAGGCAGTCTCAGCAAAGAAACTATACCTAAGAGACGCAGCATCTTCATGCGTGAGCAAACCTACAGCAGCTATTTCACTTTCACCTATACAAAAAAGTGAATGTAAATTAGGCATAACTAAATATGATGTTCACGGTTATTAACTAATTATATACATCAAAACTTTGATTAATAAATAATTGAAAACAACCAGCTCCATCTTCGCATAGCAGAATATAAACAGGCAGTCGAATTTCTAACAATTTATATGTCGCATCCATGCATAAAAACTCAGGATATGCGTTGTAGACACTGTGCATAAAAAAATCTTGAAAAAAAAGCCCTTGCAAATTATTGTCTGCATCTGTCAAAACTTCAACATTAGCATCTAAAATACATTTTATATTATATACTGATAAGAAAATAAACTATAATTATACAAATAAATTCAATATATATGTATGAATACATAGAGGAATGAGAAATATTTTAATAATTTTCTTCTTTTTAGATCATCACTGCTTTTCTGGTCTTTTAGAATCACACTACACATCCATCTAATCTTCATACTTTCTGTCTTTTCTAAACGCTGAACATCATCAACATTTATTGCCCATGTTTCACTGCCATACATCATAACATTAGAAAGTCACTAGCCATTCTTCAATACCTAAACACCTTAAAACCCACCACACCACCTTAATTAGAACACTGTCAAAAGCTAGGTCAATAAATGCAATCCACAGATCTTTTTTCCTTTCCAAAAATCTTTTTTAAACTGGCCTTACAATAAAAACGACATCTGTCATTCCTTTTCCTGGCCTCAAACCAACTGAATGTTATTGATCAATACACTGCTCATTATTTTGCTTTCAATAATTTTTTCTAAAATCATCATAACCTGGTCTAGCAATTTAATTCCTCTATAAGAACCACATTCTAATGCGTCTCCGCCTTCCTTATGAATCTTTACCATCCAATGCTTCTTCTAATTATTTGGGATTTTACCTTCATATACAATCGAATTGTAAAGATCAGACACCCAATGAAAACCTACATCACCTAAAGCTTTCAACACCTCTGCCAATACACCAGAAGGACCAGCAGCCTTACCTAATTGAGCCTTCTTAATAGGTAATTACTCACTAATCACTTCACTAAATAATCACTTCACTCATGTTATCTGCTCTGCTGGCTTACTAACCTTATTCACTGCAGACACAGCAGAGCCTTTTTCTATCCTAACTCTTTATTTTGCAATTTTTTAAAATGACTTATCTACCTTGCTTTTACCTCAACTTCATTTATAAACTTTTTACCACCTCTTTGATACAGCCTTCTCCAATAACATCTCTATTTAAGCATCTCACATATTAGCATCTTACTTAATTATTTTTCCTCATCTAATTTAGCTTTGTATATGGCTTTTTTTGACTTGCGCTCTGCCACAGAATACAGTAGCCTATCATCTTCATTTCCAGACTTTTTCCGGATGTTATGAAATATCCTCTTTTCTTATCTAACTTTAGCCACTTTTTCATTCCACCACTTTTTCTTTCCACATACTTCATCAGCTACATCAACAAGGCATTTCTTCATGTTTTTCCACATACTTTCCACATTTCTTTTTGATCTGATTTGCTTTCTTGCTTTAATTTTCTTTTCAAAATGTTTACACATTTCATCTTCTTTAAATTTCCAAATTCTGCAATCACAAAGATCTCTTTTCTTCAAATTTTCCACCAAAATGTCACAAATAATTTATTTGTGTTCTGGAATACAAGCCTCACTTGGTATTATTCTTATGTTGCTTGTCTATTTTCTATGTTGCTTTCTGATTAAGATTTATTCCACTTGTGCCTCCAAACCATTAGACTCATAAATTATTTTATGTTAATCCTTTTTCGTAAACCATATATTACAGACTGTCAATCCTGTAGTATCAGAAAATTCCAACAACATCTCTCCTTCAGCATTTCTGATGCTAAATCCTTTTCCACCATGCCTCAAAACCATCTGAAGCCACACCAACATACCAATTTAAGTCTCAACATATTATCAACTTCTCATCTCATTCTCACCAATATTCTTCAAAATATTACCTAAAACATTACCTAAAACAAACATCCTTTTCTTCACTGTACTACCTGTTTGAGACTCGAAAAAGTGTCAGACAGGTAAACTTAAAAAAAAGAACTTTTTTTTAATTTTACAGGTATATTGCCCTTAAAAAAGACAACAAATTTAAAATGGCTTAAAATGTTTGGGAAAGCCTTTTTTTTTTTAATTCATTTATTTTTATTTTGTTTAAAGCCATATAATTCCTTCCTAGCGGTTGAAAACAGTAATTAAATTTTTAATATTTTTATTTGTATTTGAACCCTTAAAAAGACAATCTTATTATTGTTGATGTCTCCTTAAAGATTAACTCAATTGGGGAGATATTTTGCATAGTATTATCTGCCTAGTATAGGTATCTTATAATAGAAAGAAATCTGGAATTATTTAATGATTTTTTGAAATAATTAGAAAAGTCATGAAATAACCCAAATAACGCTTTTTGTAATGAGCATTAAGAAACTCTTTTTCTAAAACTATTTTATTAATATTGTATTTTTTTCTTTCCTTTATATCTTAAAGTTTATTTTGAAAGATAGTAGTAACTCATATAACTGTTCAATTTCTTTTAACACCTACTTCTTGTTTTGCAACTTTAAAAAAAGACTTAAAAATAAGAAAATTGCTGTTTTGTGTTTTTACATTACTTTATTTGTACTGTTTTAATAGTTTAAAATGTTTTAATTACAAAAAAAAAAAAATGAAACAACAATATAGCTTAAGTGTAGCTGCAAATGCAAACTCTGTATTTAAAAAGTCAAGGAATAAATCTGAAGCAACTGTAAAGCAATTTATCCGAGATAAAAGAAACAAACAGTTAAACAAAGCTGTATAATGGTGCGAAATTAATGGAAAACAAGGATATTCTGCAGGTCAGTTTAGGTTAATACAAAACAAAATTGTGATTGATAAGCAATTAGATAACCTAGTTTTACAGGAAATGAAATAAAACACGTAACGATACTAACCACTGAAGAAGAAGATATTAAGGTTGAGTATGTGCGATGTAAAAATTGAAATAAATAAGGTATGAACAGAAAAAAACTAAAAAACCTTATTATGGATGTGTAAAAAATTCAAGATCATGCTTACAAAAAGATAAAAGGAAGAATTCTATTGTATTATTCAATATAGAAACTGTAAGTTTCTGTGTCCATGTCAGTTTAAAACAAATTTACAGAAAAAAGAACATCAAAAATAAATACAGTGCTCTATCGTGTAAATTGTTTATATAATACTGTATTATAATACTGATTGTACCCGTGAAATGGCCTGCTCTAATTTAGGCAATAACAAATATGTCAATAACAAAAGTAAAAAAATGATAAATTTAAAAATAGATATATTTTAAGACAAGAAATGTAATTTATATTTTGAAATTTCAGATAAATTTTCTATGCTTAATCTATTACTTAGATGAAAAATGCACCTGCCATGTAATATTTGGTACTTAAGGAAATACTAGTCAAATGGCTCCACAAGATACTGTTCGAAGTATTTCAAACTTATTGATTTCGATAACAGAGAATGGATCACAAGATCACAAATCCATACTTACACTTTATAAATTATTTGATAAGCACGTTATTGCAAAAGACATACTTTGCCCTGTTTTACTGAGAGAAAAAAAAATACATTTGTATATATCACCTCCAGACACTACTGGGTAATGCAACTTCTTGATCAAATCAACAAATGGCTTCATAAAAATAATGAAAATACAAAAGAAAATTTGTTTTCAAAATCAAACAATTAATAGCGGCTTTTATGTAATCTTTTGCAAGTATGTGGGAGAAGTGGGCCACATCAGAGTCGATACGAAAAGCTGGAATAAAGATCATTATTAATAGTGAAAGCCTCAACATTGCATTTATGCAAATAGATAAATTCCAAAAAATTATAATGGTATTAGAGCAAGTTTTAAAAAATAAAATATGAAAAAAAAACCTTAACAACATACAACAGTGTGTTTATCAGATGCTTTATTTAATGTTACTGATATTTCATCAGTTGTAAATGGCAAAATAAGTTTCGTTATACCTATAAAACAAAAAAATAGCCAAATATATTAAAAAAAAAAAGCTTCAAACTGGAAAGAAAAATGTTTGTCACTACAAACAATGATTAGGAGCTTACTTGAAAAAACCATTAATCTTAAGTCAGCAAAAAGTAATAATATGCAAAAAGCAACTACAAGAGTAACCCAAGTCTATGGCTCCATGGAAGATCAGATGTGCTAAAGCTTGTAGAGTCTATTAACAACTTAAAGGAGAAAAAACCACAGGAGAAAGAACACAAAGAAAGAAAAAAGTTGAGAAGAAGAGAAGGAGAGAAGAAACAAAGTTGTTGTATAGATGCAAAATGCGTTTCAGACAGAAGCATTTGCAAAGCTGAAAACTTAAACAATGCCCTATGTGTCAAATTGTTATGAAATTGGTACAATTTTACCTAAATTTACAACAAAAAAAATAACTGCCGTATTTTAGAAGTTATTTAGAAAGTCTGACGATGAAAAAGACAGTATTAAAGATTCTCAATAAATTCCATTAGGCTGATAGAATAGCAGTGTTAAAAGCAGAGTTTTGCTTGTTATTTTGAAGTTTTTATTTTTGAAAAAAAAAAAAAAAAAAGTTTAAAATAAACGGTGCCCATAAAAAGACAAAAATACTACCATTTTCAAAGCACTTTTTAAGCAGTCAAAACTGTTTGTATCGAACTATTAAAAAGTAATTACTTTTCTGATAAGGACCCTATTCGTAGCTTTCCTAATAAGGACCCTATATTTAAAAAATTATCTTCTGAGACAACATAAGAACAACTTTTGAACTTCTGCACTATAACCTAACTTTTTTCTAAAGGTTATATTGGTGGTTCATATTTTGGAATATCCAAATTTTTTTTAGTTTTGATTAACAATAGTTATCAGCAATATAATTATTTTGTCTTTTTATGGGCACTATCTTTTTAAGGGCACTATACCTGTACATGAAACTTGTCAAACATGAATTTTTTCAAAATTCATTAAAAAGTAATTACAATAAATAAATGATGAACTTATATTTAAGAAATATTTATTTTTAACATTTAAAAAAAAAAAGAGTAATGGAAATTGAATTATCAAAAGTTAAATTAATACTTTACTTTACAGAAGACAAAATAACTTGATAACTTTCTTACTATATTTTTCCTTTAAAGTTGTAATAAAGGCTGTTATATCATTTCGGGTGTCACTTTTGTGTGCAGAAGCAGCAATATTTGATAAATCTCGGAGCGTTATCATTTTCCCAGTCTCATTTAACAATTCTCGTTGAAGTAATTTTTTGTTAGCTTTCAAACCTAACAAGGTTTCTGCTTTAGCAATAGCATAATCAGGTAGTCTTCTTTGATTAGGTAAGTGTTTATAGAAAATCTATTATGAAAAAACATTAATTATTTTTTATAATACATTAAAAATAGGTTGTGATGTGTAGAAGTTGGTATTTGCAGGAGATAATATTTCATAAAAAATTAATGATACAGTGAACTCTTGATATCTCAAACCTACAAGGGACCAAGAAAAATAGTTTGAGTAAGTGAATGTATGAGTTATGGAGACATTCTTTAACACAAACCTTTGTCAATAGGTAAAAAAATTTAAGTTATCAAAAGTTTTTATCTCAAAGGAAAAATAATACATTATAAATTATAAAATTTTCTGTCATTCTGTCTTAGTTTTGAATAAACGCCTTTTTAATTTTTATATAATATTTTGTTAGATAAGTATTCTCCTTAAGTTAACTATCCTTTGCTGCTAGTTATCTATTACATCTATAACTTTGCATACTTCTGCTTATTTTAATATAAAATCAATGCTGCTTAAATTTTGATTTAACAATTCTGGGATACTTGTCTTTTTATTCTCCTTTTATTTACTAACACTCGCTATCATTATTATTTTGTTATTATTATGTTTTTAGGTGATAGTAATATTATCTGAAGACATATTCAACTACTTAACTACCATTAGACTTATTATTGATAAATATTTTAGCTTCACTATTTTGATTTGATATTTATTTTTATTTCAATTATTAGTATTATTTATACTATATTAAACATCATATTATTATTACTACTATTATCTTCATAGTTGTTTAAATTGATGTTTTGTATTTGTTAAATATTTTTAGCTATGTTTATGTTAATATTGTATTTGTTAGGAATTTACTTTATATTAGTACTTGTACTATTGTAAATATTCTTGAAATGTTAACAACTAATTTCAGAATATATTTGCTTTGATTTATGCACAAAAACAGTTTATGACATATTTTGCAATTTGTAAAGGCTATTTAAACTTTAATAATATATTCTAACAAGCTATTTACAGTTTTTATGATTGTTAGTGAGGGTTCAAGGGGAACTCAAAAGTAATACGAGTTACTGAAAGTTCAAATTATCCAGGGGTCAAGATATCGGGAATTCACAGAATTTACTTATAAATTAGCAAAAATTCAAAAACATCATACTTAGTTACAAAAAACCGAAGAATATATAAGCTTGTATAGCCACATCTATAATTCAATCACACCCACAAATATCAATATATAATTCAAATCAAAAAGTTCATAAAAACTCCCAATAACAAATTTTTAATTTGATTTTTTAATAAGATTTTTCCTGTCTATATAAAAAATTGTAAAATAATGAAAAATTATAAAACATATTTTAAGTATAAATAATAATAGTTTACTTCAGATACTTCGTGATTATGTGTATTGTTCAATTTATGCAAGATTAATGCTTGTCCATCCTCCGATGCCTTAAAGTGTAGGTAGAAAGGGCAATCTTTTTTATATGTCCTACAAAAAAAATGTATTAATTAGATGCTTATTTCATAAATTAAATTAGCAAAAAAAAAAGTATTTGTATTACTAATAAAAAGTTCTATGTAACAAATTATATTTGTATTTCTAAATAAAAAAAATTATTTATTATAAAATAAATCCAGTAAACTGCCAATTACTCAAACCTTCAGGGAAGCCAAGAAATTAGTTCAAGTTAGCAAATGTTCTAGTTATCAGGATATTTCACAATTCAAACTTTTACAGATAAGTAAAAATAATTCAAGTTATCAAAAGTTTTTTTTTAATTCAATCTGAAATGGTAAGTAAAATAAAATCTTCATTGCAACTTTTCTAAATTGTAAAAATTGACATGTTAACAAACTGTTTGCTTTAAAAGTTTCAGTAATACAACAGCAAAAAGTTTTAATGCTTTTATAACAGCAACTTAGAATTGCAACATTGACCAGATCGGAAAGAGCAATAGATTTGAAGCATTTATAGCAGTTAATCAAAAGCAATCTAAAATTAACTATGCAATACTTAGCAAGCAAACTTGGATGCATTCATAGATAAAATAAAAATAATATGTGAATAAAAAATAAAAATTAAAATAGAAATAAAGAAATATAAATGAAAACAAAATAGATCATAAAATATAAAATCTCCTTATGTCTCAGTTTTGAAGTAATATCTTTTTTGATTGATATTAAGGAAATCAAAAAAGTTTAATGTAATAAAAGAATATTTATTTTTAATAAGATTTTGTTAATATTTTTCTTCTAAAGTTCAACTTATTGGGATATTATCAGCCACAGGGACAAAAAAAAAAGGTTTGACTTAGGGAATTTTCGAGTTATCAAGGGGTTTGAGTTATCAACATAGTGATTTTTATGAGAAAGTGTGAGTGAGAGTTCAACAGGAATGTTAAAACACTTTGAGTTACTAAAAGTTCAATATATCTGCAGTGTGCTGCTTTTATTAATAACCTACATAAACAAGTTTTTTTTTCTTTTTTGTTTATTTTTGAACTGTTACAGTACAAATTATATTATTTATAATAAAATATTATTAAATCTATAACTTTGTGTATATTGTTTTAATGTTTTACAATTGTTTTTATTTAAGTATACTTTATAATTCCTTGAGTATGTCACTAAACTGTTATAATATCTAGCATTATATTTATTTTGGATTTATTTGAACACTATTTTTTTATTTTTCAGTTATTAACTCTGTAACTAACAGCTTTAATATTGTATTTATTCTTAAGATTGATTCATTTTTAACATTTTGAAAAACAATTCTTACATGCATCAGATTGCACAAAAAGCTAAAGAATACATAGAGAATGCCATTACCCTGAAAACGTTTCTAAAGATATGAACACTAGCTAAGGTTATGGGAACTGAGTTCTTTCTATTTGGGAAAAAATAAAATTTTTACCAGTGGAGGAGATAGAAATCGCAACTTTTGTAGCAATATCTTACACGCCTTAGTTTCTTAAGTCATCTATAATAATCCATACTCAATCTAAGAAAGACTTAAAACAAATATTTTAATTTAAAGTAAAAAAAAAAACATAAAGAAAAAAAGAAACCATAAGAAAGAAAGAAAATGTTTAAACCTGGGGAAGTCTAACCACTTATAGTGATTAATATTATTATTTTTATTACTGCTTTTCTGTAACTTTCAGATTTTCATTTTTACTGTCTTACTTGAATTATACACTACCACTAGAATTAGTTTTGTTTATAATATTATTTTTATTACTGTTGTTGTTATTGTTATCATTTTTGTTTATTAGAATTTTAAAAGCAATGTTTTTGGATACATTGCTTACATTACCATTATTATTATCCTTATTATATATTATTAGCATTATAAGGGGTTTAATTCATATAAGTTTATAACTATTTGTAACTTGAAGGCAAGATCTTTATTCAGAAATATAAATTATTCATTGATTGAAATAGAACAAACAGTTATAACAGTTACTGTCTGAGAACAATAATACAATCTTTTAAAAAAGTAAAATAAAGTACTAACGAAGTTTGACGTTTTCCAAAACCTTTATATTTAAATTTTTGTCCACCATGAATGCAGCAGTACTTTATAAAAGAGTATTTAATTTGTGGAGCCATAATACTAGCTCTCTTTGGAATGCTTTTTCTAGCAGCATTAATTGTCTTGGCGTCTCTCATCCATAATTGCACAAAATTAGCATCTTCATATTTTTTAATATTTGCTTTTAGATCTTCAAAAGACAAGAAAACATCTTTGCAAGTAAAACCAGTTGACATTTTACAATATAAAATTATATTTTCCAATTCAAATCTTTGAAAATCGGAATTTGTTTTTACACGTGACTTTTGCAACCAATAGACGCGCTTCCGGTACTATAAGAAAATTTTCTTATAGTACCGACTTTCGGTACTCTATCCACGGCGATATATATATATATATATATATATATATATATATATATATATATATATATATATATATATATATATATATATATATATATATATATATATATATATATATATATATATATATTATTATAATATTAAATTTATGTTAATTTAAATAATAATTATTATTTAAATTATTTGTTTTTAAGATAAGTTGCGCACAAGCACATACACTTACAAATGCATATATATATATATATATATATATATATATATATATATATATATATATATATATATATATATATATATATATATATATATATATATATATATATATATATATGATATATATATATATATATATATATATATATATATATATATATATATATATATATATATATATATATATATATATATATATTTAGTAATATAATAATTTAGTAATGAAATGTAGTTAAATAATAAAAAGTTAAATTTTGAACTTTTCAACAAAATACTGCAATTTTTTTTATTTTGCCTAAAGATTTTTATAGATAAAGATAAAAATTTAGATTTATAGATAAAGATAAAAAAAGTGATCACAGAAATCTAGTGATCACAGAAAAGGCAAAATATTAGAATTGCAACTAAATAGGCAAATTTTATTCTTGACATTAAATAAATGTTATGTTATCAGTGCTCGAAATAACAGCCGATCAACGATCAATGATCGGCTATTTTTAGGGAAATTTCGAAAAATTTAAGGGAAAATAACCTGTTTTTGTGAAAAAATTACATTTGATCGGCAAGCTTTGAAAAACTATTTCGAGCGCTGTGTTATATATTATTAAATATATATCTTTTAATTTTTGTTTTAATTTATTTTTCATCTTTACTTAACTTTAGCTTATTTTTTTGTTATGGTTAAAAATTTGCCATTTGCAAAAGTAATAACACTAGCACATTTTGTACAGATTGTTTTGAAGTAGACTGAATTTGCTTCTATAATGATCTTTGTTTTAAATTCAGATTCTCTATAAGCACTTGCCTAACTCGAGAAAACTTCCAGATTATGCTATCGAGAAAGCTAAAGAGTTGATGCATTTAAAACCAAACAAAAAACTGCTACAAAAAGAGTTGATCAAATCCACAGGCAAAATTATCACTCTTAGAGATCTTTCAAACATTGCTGCTTTATCTAAGAAGGTGGAAAGCAGGAATGATATCACAACCTTTGTTACAACTTTAAAAGAAAAATATAGTAAGTAGTCTTATGAACTGATAATGCTTCTTGTTTTTTTTTTTTTTTTTTATTTAAATTTGGCGTGTTTTTAAATATTGTTTCTCCATCAGTTCCTGTTATTATTGCTCAATAAATTGTAATTTATTGATTTTATATTTGATTAGTTAAAATTTAAATTCTATTATTATATTTTATTGATTTTATTAGTTCAAATTTAAACTCTATTTTCTAAATTTTTCTGGTTTTGTTTAAAAAGCTATTAAATTGAAAATAGGGATTGTTGTTGACATATCAGTTTCAGCTTTAAGCTAAACAGTTTTAGCTTCAACTTGATGCTTAAGTTGATAAGGATTAGAATAATCAGCTTGAGAGGGAGTTTAGTAGTTACTCTTAAGCTGCTCCTCAAATGATTTTTTGCAAGTAAAAGAACATCTAATTTTAGATGATTGAATTTTAAAGATTTATTTTTAGATATAAAATTAATTAAATCAAGATGAATTGTTTACAGTTATGAAAGTTTAGTCGAATGATGCAAATAAAAATATATAATAACTATAATATATGTATATATACTAGGGGTGCATCGATCAAGCCTTACTGGAGAGCGTGTTCTGTCGCACATCTTGTTTGTTCACATTTTAAGTAATTTATTTTGACAACTTGACCACATTTTTATATATTCAGCATTTTAAGAATTTGTGGCAAAAAAAAACTATAAGAAACTACAGAGAATAAAATAAAATTTAAAAAATTTAATAAATGTTTTCAAAAAAATTGTATACCTAATCATTTTACTGTTTTCTATGTTGTTTTTTTTTTTTCAGGGCATTTTCTATTTTCCACTACCGAAATTGATACAAAATATCAAAAATTGATACATGTTTTCAAAAAAATTGTATACCTAATCATTTTACTGTTTTTTTTTTGTTGTTTTTTTTTTCAGGGCATTTTCTATTTTCCGCTACCAAAATTGATACAAGTTATTCTCTTCCAGTAACTTCCAACACTAATTAGTGGTTGTTTGCAGCCTTGTTGGAAGCGAAAATGTTAAAAAAAAAAAAAAGTCGACAAAAAAAGCAGATAAGAATATAATGAAAATAAAAACATTTTTGATATACAATTTATTTGTGACTTTCATCAGTCAGTATATTAAGAAAAAATGAATTTCGTTTGTCAGTCATTATATTTAAAAAATGAATTTCCATATTTATTATTACCATAATTTTTCATACAGAGTAATTGATATGTTCATTATTTCTAGTATTTTGTGTTAATGCTGGAAGTTGGGCAATATAAAGAAAGCAATTTCAGACAGGCATCAAATGTAGTAAATTTTTTTTTTTTTTTAATGCAATTTTTTAGTTAATTTTAGTTAAAATATACTGCCTTTTTCCTTAAATTGTATCAAATTCGGTAGTTTAAATTAACAACCACCCTAGAAAAAAGAATTCACAGTTGTATAAAATTTTTACAAAACAATTTTTTTTTTAGAATTTATTATTTTCAAATTATTAAGTTTTTCCATTTAAAATAAGTATGTTTTGTTACAATTTTGTTTCCTTTTTTTAGAATTGGTTTTATTCTAAGTAAATAAGTTTAGCTTTTTGCCACATATTGTTGAAACGCTTTATAACGCGTTAAAAGATGCGAACTGTCGTGGTCAGTGTGTCTAAAAAAATTACTTTAAATATGGAAAAAAAATGTGTGCCACTGCCGATTTTTACAGGCCGATACTGATCTATATGATATGTATCAGCTGATGCATTGGTCACTAGTTTAAATTTGTACAAATTATTTGTAAATTTCTAACTGTATACTCCGAGTTAGCACAGATCCTGATGATACCGACCTAGATAATGCCACTTATATGGGGTGATAATAATAAATTTAAAGGTACCCTGTGATGCAAATTCCAAAATCTTTTAATTTTTTCCGCGCAAAATAATTTCATTTGAATAGAATGCCAGGTAAAAAAATTTTAATTTCAAATGTCTTGGGATGCCAACTAAAAAAGCCTGCTTGATTTTTTATTTTCTATAATAAATTTAACAGATGTTTAGCTTTTACTGTGCAGTATATACATAGGTATATATTGTTTTAGCTTTTATTACCATTTAAAGGGCAACAAATATTCATAAGTTTTTTGACTTTGTTTAAATTAATTAATATAGATAGAGGTGTTATAATCAAAAAATAATTTTTAAATTTACACTGCCAGAATTATTATAGGCTGACTAAGCTTTAACTTCATCCTGAAGCTTGAAATCAGCTTTAACCTTAAGGTGATTGCTAAATATCAAATAAAAAACTTTCCTAATGAAAAATTAATACAAATTATAAGTAAAAAATTTTCAAAATTTGCTAACACAAGTTTGTTATAGTAGTTGCTACTTTTAATGTTTTTATTCAGCCATTCAAAAAATGATTCACTACTTTATTTATGTACATAAATTATTATTTTTTAATTTATTATTATAACAATTATTTTTTTATTTCCAGATGCTAATGTTGAAGTTTTATTAGATTCTGACAGCAATTTGAAAGGGATTTTTTTTCAAGACGATTTTATGCACAGTGCGTACAATTCATATCCAGAGTTCCTTTGTTTTGATGCAACATATAAACTGTTACAAATTCGTCTGTCTGTTTATATTATACTTTGTGAAGATAGTTGTGGTTAGTGTGTTTCTTTATACATTTTGTGATATAATTGATCATCATCCCTAAATTAACTTTTGTAAATAATACTGATAACAGTTAATTTAGGAATGTATCAACCAATCACAAAATGTATAAAGGAAATGAACAATTTTACATATTCAAATACAAATATTTATTTTTTATGATTTTTTTTCTTCTTTTTTAATCTAATTTACTTCTAACAAGGCTGCAAGCAACCACTATTAAGTAAGGGTTACTTTAAAACAAAGAATAGAGTTATAGAGCAAGGAAGAGGCTGAATCAAGACTTAAAAGGTTTAAGATTTTAAGAGGTTTTAAGTTTTAAGAGTCAGAGGTTGTAGATTTTAAGAGTAAGAGTTTATACATAAAAAATACATTTTAAAATAACAAAAACACATAGCATGATAACTGACTGTGTTCTTTTTTCATATTTCTACTTATTCTAAGCCTGTATAAGGTTTCCAAATATGTTTCCCAGAATCATTTAAATTTATGTTCACACAGAGAAGACTAATCGGACGATAATTGGAAGAGTTAAAATGTTGCATTGTTGCTAACTTTTTTTTTAATTAATTTTAATTTTATTAAAATAGGTGAAAGTGAAGTAGCTGTCGTTGGTTTAATTACAAATGAAGATGCGGCATCATTGAGGTTTGATGTTTTGTGTTATGCGATTTATATAAAGATAGTGTTTTTTTTTTGTCAAAATAACTATTTTTATTATGTTTTTAGTTGGTTTGTAGAAACATTTAAAAGAAACAACTGTTCCTGGTCTAAAACTAATGCCATAATTACGGACAAAGACTTAAACGAGAGAGATGTTTTACGTGCTTCTTTTCCTGATGCATCTCTTTTACTTTGCCTATTTCACACTCTTAGGTAAAATAATCTAGTAACAGCTAGTAAGTTAAATGTTAATTGTGAAAATAATTACTTCAAGGATTTTTATTTTCAGAACATTTAATCGTAAAATTTCCACTGTAAAACTTGGCATCACAAGTGGTCAACGAACGTCTTGTCTAGAACTCATTCAAAAATTAGCATATGCAAGATCAGAGACACAGTATAATGAATTTTATAACATATTTGTTTCTTTATCGCCAACTACAGTTCTTGACTATTTTAATAATAATTGGCACAACATTCGTAATGAATGGGTCTTTGGCTTAAATTATGCTTGTGCTAATTTTATGAACACCACTAACAATCGTCTCGAAAATTTTAATGGAAAACTGAAAGAAGTGGTTGATTGTAATAGTACATTAGAAAATTTTCTTGAAAATTTATATGTTTTGTTAGCCTCAATGCGAAATGAGTGAGATCACAAAACTATTTTCAAAATGCAGAAAATTTGTATAGACTTTTTTGAACCTAATTCAGCTGAATCAGAATATAAAAATATTTTGACAACATATGCATTTGAGCAAGTATTGAAACAATTTTCCTTGCATTCAGAAGTAAATCTTTTTTGTGACAATGAAAACTATATTGTTAAAAGCAGTGAAGGTATGCTTATAGTTACTTCTGATTCGTGTGGTTGTATGTTTAGAAAATCAATGGGTCTGCCGTGTCGCCATATCTTCGCAGTTCGCCAGTTGCTAGGTTTGAATCTATTTGATGCCAAGCTATGTCTAGAAAGGTGGACAACAAAGTATTATCGTCAGCATCAAAGAGTTTTTAATACTTCTTCCAAAATTAAGGAGTCTTGTGTGCAGATTAGTGTTGCTCCAAGAAAAAAACAATCCTTTCTCAGCATGAAAAGTTCAAACTTGCACTTCGTACAACTTCACTATTAGCTACATTGGTTTCAGAGCCAACTGGACCTTCTTTTGAACAGAGAATGGGTCTTCTACAAGAACTGCAGAAGGGTTAGGAGCATGGCAAAGTCATGGTGTTAAATGAACTTATTGAGACAGACTTAGGGGTATCTGATATAGTCTCAAATCAAACTTTTTCAGATGCAGGAGCACCAACTGATGTAGATTTAATTGAAATTTTGAACAAAGAGGAGGGAAATGAGATTGATTTTAGAAATGTGTCTTCAGCGCAATATGTTACTGTCAATAATTCGCAACAAAACCAAGAAGAATGTTTTGTTGTGCAGGACGAAGCAGGTTTAGTAGGTATATATAAAATTCAAAATAATTAAATGCAATTGAGAGTGATAATTATATTAAATAGAATTTATTAATTATGTAAAAATAAGATGGAGTTGTAGCATTTTGTACATTCATTTTAGATACTCAGTTAAAAAAGATTTGCTTGCCTCAAAGTGTTGTCCATTGTGGACGACCTAAAGGTGCATACAACAATAGGTCTTCCTAAAAAACGTCTTTGTCGGTCTTCTGATGTGCAGTTCCTTTTATAAAACTTGAACCGGCTAAAAGACATGCTTGTATGTTAAAAATATTATTTTAAATTTTAAGCTAATAAATAATATTAGGGGTCATTCATAAAGAGTCTAACTAATAAATAGTAGTATAAGATTTTTTTCTAGTACTAAGAAGATTTCTTTTCTTGCACAATTTTAAATTTATATGTTTAATGATGATCATTGTGCAGAAACGGAAATGATCTCCTATCTATATTAAAAAGTCAAATTCAGCATGACACACTTTATGGGTGACTACTCAATTAAAATTAATGGTTTTGCAGCATAAGTTATTAAGATCAAATGGTTTTGTTATAGTGATGCTTGGTTGGTTTTTAAAAGCTGACGACGTACAGAAAGCTCTTTCTGGTATCCTTATCAATAAGAGTGCTGTAGAAAAAAGACCGAATTGTATTCCCTCATCTATACTTGATGAAAGTGCATTAGAGTTACTTTCTTCATTGCAAATATACTTTAGCTCGGATGCATGGAAAGCACTTGATAAAGTAATCAAGGCTAAAAAAAATCAGCATATCTGGCCATGTGCTGTATGTCTGAAGAGCACAAGCGAAGGAAATAAAACTGGTAATGCAATAGCATGTGATTCATGCTTATTGTGGTCACATAAAAAATGTGTGGGACAAAAAGAGAATTCCTTTTTAAAAGCAAGGTATTGGTTTTGTCGCACTTGTTATGGAAGGTAATGATTTAAGTATTTATAATTATTTATTTTTATAATTAAGTATTTATATTATACCTTTATAATTTTTGTATATATATATATATATATATATATATATATATATATATATATATATATATATATATATATATATATATATATATTAAATTGATATTATTATATAGTATTATATAGATTGTATAGATTAGATACAGATTGTGAAAATGTTTTTAAAAGCTCTGTAAGATTATATAGTATTACATATATTGTATAGATTAAATACAGATTGTGAAAATATTTATAAAAGCTCTGTAAGTCTTTTTTTTTTTGTTTTTTTTTTGAGCTGTGTTTTGATTCAAGTAGTCTTTAAGATAAATAAAAATCTAGTATTATAAAATAAAAAGAAACTGTTTTTAAGAAAAAACGAAAGAAAAAAAATTTTTTTTTTTTTGTGACAATATTTTTTCCTTTTTTGTTTTTGTTTGTTTTTTGTTTTGTATTTAATATAGAAATATGAAATGCCAAGTCCTATGGTTTACCTTCTCGTGGTGCATTTCGTTAAATAAGTTACAAAAGTTTTACACTTTGTAATTTATAAACTAAAAACCAAGGCAATATTTTTAGAAGTTATTTAAGGTTTGTAGAAATCTTATAATATTTGTCAATTAATAAATTTATTAAATAAAAATTGAGTAAATATACATATTACATACCATGTTACATACAATGTAATATATACATATGGTATTACAAACATGTTTACAGTTATGTTTTTTAATAAATTAAACTCTTTTATTAGGGAAATATATAACCCCATGCGTTTTTACTTAATGTGCAAAATTATCTGAATTAATTTATAAACGAAGTATTTACTAAACGCAACCTAATGGAAGTATACAATCTATAATTTGTGATCGATAGTAGATGGTAAATTAATGTTACACGCTCTAAGCAAGTATTACAGACCATCGTTTAGCAAAGCAATTTTAAAACAACCAATTTAACTAGAGTTTAGAAGAACAACGAGTGATTTAAGGAACTTAATGAAGGAGAACGCTCCGAAGCAGAAATAGATCTTATTTATTTTATCATTATTTGGTAAACAAAATTACCTTAACTAATTTTAATAAAGATAACTTTTATGAATATTATTTATGTATTTACTGACACTAAATTTGCTACCAGAAGTACTTTTATTGGTTATTATATTTTAGATAGGTGAAAGCGGAGCAACATGGCGAACGTTTTGAAAGCCCTGATTTACTGCAAAACTATCAGTCGTGAAGCAATAATACTTTCTCAGTATGTTTATGTTATTAAAATGATTCATTGCCTGCATGAATTTTCAGATTGGAAATATAACAATTTGAAATAAATATTAACAATCATCTGGTCACGTGACCGGGGTAGGATGACTTATTATGCAATTTTTGCCTCCAATTTTATAAAATTTTAAAAACTACCAATAACTCTAACTAAAGTAACACAAAATAAACACAAGTCGCAAAAAACTAGTTCTAAAGAAGTTAAACTTGAAGGACACCATCCATTATGAGAAACCGAAACTGAGGCATTTTTTTTTAGCGCAAAAAGTAAACTTTTGCGTTTAAAATTGCGTTAATAATATTTCAAAAAACCAATTGGTGTTTTAAAATACATGATGCAAATACAGTTTTGTTCTCACACAATTTTAAGATTTTTTGTTAAGTTGTTATATGAAAACCCATCTTGCCCCATTCGCCATGTTGCCCCGCTTTCCCCTAAAATAATTTCTTAAAACGTATGTGTAAGTTATTTTATAAGATATAACTTAATAAAATAATTTACTAACTATTAAATTAATAATTAATATCTTAGTAAAAGCGACTATAGTCGGCGGCCTAACATAATATTTTTATTCAAAAAAAGCGAATTTGACACGTGACATTCTTAGCTAAAAAAGGATTTTCGGTAGGCGAAGTTTTTTTTTTTTGGCTACCGACAGTCCAGGTGAGTTGTTTTTATTCTTTTATTTTACCGAAAGCGCTTTTATTGGTTGATAAATTCTATTTTGACACGTGACATTTTAAGCCAATAAAACGGACTTTCGGTAGGCAAATTTTTATTTTTTTTGGCTACCGACTTTCGGTAGGCTATCCACGGCGATTTATATATATGTATATTACCCTAATTATAACTACTCAGTTTTGCATCGTACATTTTCTATGATTGCTCTGTTCTTTTAAGAACATTGAGCACTCTATTTTGTAGAATACATTTTTAAATTTATATATATATATATATATATATATATATATATATATATATATATATATATATATATATATATATATATATATATATATATATATATATATATATTTATAAAATATATTATATATATTTATAAAATATATTATATATATTTATAAAATATATTATATATTTTTATATATATATATTATATATATATATATATATATATATATATATATATATATATATATATATATATATATATATATATATGTATATTATATATTTATATATATATATATATATATATATATATATATATATATATATATATATATATATATATATATATATATATACACTGTGTCAAAAAAGTTTTCATCCACCTATCTTGCACATTTTAAAAACGCAATAACTTTTTATTCAGTATAAATGTTTGCATGATATATAATCTAAGTTATATCATTTAAACATTTAAGAAATATTTTACAAAGCATTTTTTTAAAGTAATGAGTAACAAATAAAATACATAAAAATAAACATAAAATAACAAATATAATAAAAAATAAACATATTTGTCCCAAAAAAGTTTTCATCCACTTTACAAAAATAAAATAAAATTGTTATGCAAAATCAATTTGTTAGTGTTTTAATAACTTGTGTTTCCACCGCAAGCTTTTATTACTTCGTGTCGTCTGTTTTTCATAGAACAAACTAATATTTAAGTAGTTTTTTGAGTGATTGAGCCCCAATCTAAAAATTTTGACTAATCGCTAAAAAGAACTTATTCCCAAAATGTTTGTGTTTCATTAATATAAAGTTTTGCAAAGTGTAGTCGTTTAGCTTTGTTGACTTTGCCAATGTGGGGCTTTTTCAATGGTACTCTACCATTGTATCCAGCTCTTCTTAATGTTATTCGAACAGTTTCAGGGTCGAATTTTAAATTGTAATCATTTTGCAGCATTCGAGTGAGTTTAGGAGCACTTATTTTAGGATTTTTAATGACTTTTATCAAAAATGCTCGTTGTTGCAATACTTGAATTTTATTTGGACATCCTGTTCGTAGCTTATCAGCAATTTTTTTAGTGGTTTGGTATTTCTTGATAATTGACTACACAGTTGCACGTGATTTATTTACAATTTCTTCTATTTATTCACTACTGAATGTCAGAAAGAATACTAAAATTAAAGGAAACAAAATGCAGCAATAGTTTTGGTAATCGAGTATTATCTCACAACGGTCCTAAACTTCGGAATATACTTTCATATATGATTCTTGACGAAAAAAAAACAACTATATGAAAAAACTGAAATCTTTTTTAATGATGAATGGTGAATTATTCCACCAGAAAACTTTTGAATGTTAAATAAAAATCTCTCGGTCATTAATATTAAAAACTTTACCAATATAATAATTTGTTGCACAGCTAAGCAAGTGTTTTGTCAAATTTATCCACTATTCTGACAAAACACAGTAGCTGTGAGTAAATAAATGTATTTTTTTAAATATATATATATATATATATATATATATATATATATATATATATATATATATATATATATATATATATATATATATATATATATATATATATATATTATATTATAAGTTATTTAATTATCTTTACTTTTTTTTCCAGATGACTGTAAAATGGTTTATTGTGTTGTGTCAATAGATCAAAAATCAATACTAATGTTGATTGATTTTTTGTTCTTTGACACAAAAACTTGAAATTTGGTAGAAAAATTTTGTTCTTCAACATTCTGGGAAAGAAAATATTTTTTCTATGATTGGATTTTACTATTCAGGACTAATAAGAAGCAATTTTTATTAACGGTGAGTAAATTTTCCAAGTTACCTTTTTATGTTGTGTATAAGCAAATGCAATATAATGTATTTAAGTTTAATTTTTTTAAACATTTAACTGTTATGAATATTAAGTGTTAGCTTTTTTTCACTTCAAAACACACTTCAAAATTCTGAAATTACTTTAATGTTTATAAAATCAGAATACTTTTAGACTGGATACGCTTTGTGTGAGATTTTTATTATATTGCGTTTTTACAAATCTTTGTAAGTTTTTTGTTTGCTTAAGAAATCCTGAAATTGACAAATTAGTATTTATCAATTAATATTACTAATATTTTGCTTAATATTTTTGTAGTTTAACATTGTGTCTAGAAAAGTTATTTATTTAATTGCACTTTTAAATAGTCAAGTCTAACAAAATTAAAAATCTAATTGATATATTTTATCGGAAATTCTTGTGTTAACACATAAATGTTTCTCTAATTCTAGATGTATCAAAGGGTCAAAAATCATTTAAACTTTATTAATTTTGAATTCATTGTCACAAATAAAAATATATATATTGATGGAATTACGCACAGAAATGTCATATTGAGCTAACTACACAAAAACTGCTTATTTTTCAAAGATTATTGCGTTCAAATATGTTAAGTGTATGATAAATTGAGTCAACTAATTGACATTACGTGTAAAGTACAAAAAAAATAAAAAAATTGTATACGCAAACATTTATAGTATTCCTGCTACATTTGCATTTTTAGTTTAGCACGTAACACTTCTATGCATAATGCCATTGATATATATAAACACACACACACACACACACATATATATATATATATATATATATATATATTATATAGATATATATATATATATATATATACATATATATATATATATATATATATATATATATATATATATATATATATATATATATATATATATATATATATATATATATATATATATATATACATACACACACATGCACACACACATATATATATATATATATATACATATATATATATATATATATATATATATATATATATATATATATATATATATATATATATATATATATATATATATATATATATATATATATATATATATATATATATATATATATATATATATATATATATATATATATATATATATATATATATATATATATATATATATATATATATGTATATATATATATATAAATTAGTTTGAACAATATGTTTTTTTCAAAATGTTTCCTCTTGAGAAGGTGATTTCTACTATTTTATTATTGCTCTATTATATTAGGAAAATTAGGCACTTTATTTTGTGTGTATATATATATAAATATATATATATATATATATATATATATATATATATATATATATATATATATATATTTTTAGGCTAAAGAAAATTTATTTCATAGACTTTTGAACTTTTTAAGTAATATTAGACAACGTCTTATTGACGTAGTTTTGCATAACTTTGAATAAATCTTTTTTTTTTTTTTAACAATGCCAAGCTTGCAAGAACAAATAATAGTAAAGCAAATTGTAATCAATTCACTAAAATAAATTACAGTTGTTTAAATTCAATCCAAAAATAACAAGAAAAAAAGATTGATACTTTTGCTATGAGATGTTTATGTTTACTGTGCACCTTCGGAAGAATGAGAACGAGTAATTTCGGGAACAAAAACATAAACAAAGCGCTATTGTTTGTTTCCAGACTATATATTTCTTATAACTATGCTTTAACAGATTATTAGTTAAGAATTGGTCTTTTTAATTCTCAACTAATATTAATAACAATAAAAACTAATAATTAAACTTTTGGAGTTTTTTTTTTCCAAACTCTATTGATTTGAGTCAAATAACAGTAATTTTTAAACATTTTAGAGAATATTTTTTACAAGTTTTTTATAAACTTGTAAAGAAAGCAAACGAATATTAAGTTATACAATATACAGTTTCGAACTTTATTCTTTTGCCTCTATATATAATTATAAATTTTATTCATACATTATTTTATAAACATTGCTTTGAAGGGGAAAGGTAAATTTTGATTATTCGGTATTTCAAAACTACATTTGCTTAAAGTAAGTAAGGAAATGTTTTTTTTCAAATTGCTTTGTTTAGTTAGAGCTCCTTTTTTATTTATATTAAATTTTAGTACTTAATAATGACTTTTTTATTTATTAATAAGGATATCAATGATTAA